TCATATTTTTTTTTAATAGGAAATCTTCTTCTCTACAAAAAAGGTCCTTATAAATTTTTTCATATCTCAATTATTTACGGAGATATAGCCTTAGCAAAAAAAAGACACAACCCAAAGCGCGGGAGGATAATTAAAAGTGTCTTTTTTAATTAATTACCATAAAAATACCTTGTCTCTTGCATGATACATGCTTTATATAATAACAACGCTAATAATAACCGTGTGCTCTCGAGTTAATTAAATTAAAACTCAAAATGGACATCATAATATATGTATACAAATTCGTATCCAGCAAATGTACACATTTAATTAATAATTTTGCTAGCAGCGCACACTAGTTAACTACGCGATTGAATTTGAAAGTTACGCGCATGGGATTACTTTATCCGGATGTTTGTGAGCACACAATGGCCTTCTATTTCCCCCCCCCCCTCTCTCCACAACCGCCTACTGAAAGTGCATTAATGTATGACGAGCTAAAAGGAAGGAGAAACAGAACCAGAATGAGAATTAGGGGGATAGTATCGCTTTGAATTCAATTTGTAAATAGTTATCGCTCAACAACCAACACGAATTTCGGTGCGTGTCATGTCGGGAATCCACTCCACATCCTTTGTTCTGTTTGCGGTTTTGTTATCCGCTATATACAAAACACGCCCGGCTTTTATGTAAAACCATGTGCGTTAAATGCTTAGATATTGGCTTGTACATTACTCGGAGAAAGTTGGCGAGGATATTTTTGGAATCTACGGGAAATTTCCGAAAAAATGAGTACCCACATGCCAAATTGGTCATATGTGACCATACGAGGTCATATCTGCCATATGTGATCACATATGGTCATATGACGTCATGTCCGCCATATGTGATCACATAGATCATATATGGTCACATATGAGTAACCATAGGCATATGGGTAGTCGTCGGATCGGGAATTTTGAGAGGGTTAACATGACCTAGATGATTTTTAAAAATTTTGAGATTCAAAAATTATTTTGTTGGCTTGGATATTTTTGGAATCTACGGAAAATTTCCGAAAAAATGAGTACCCACATGGCAAATTGGTCATATGTGACCATATATGGCCATATCCGCCATATGTGATCACATATGATCACATGCGAGGGAATATAGGCATGTGGGTACTCATTTTAAAGAGAATTTCAAGGAGAGTAACATGGACTAAGAATTTCCGAGATATATTTATAAATATAAGAAATATATAACGGGAAGTTGGCTTGGATATTTTTGGAATCTACGGAAAATTTCTGAAAAAATGAGTACCCGCATAATAAATTGGTCATATGTGACCATATATAGTGATTATGACCATATATGGTCATTGTGACCATATATGGTCATATCCGCCATATGTGATCACATATGATCACATGCGAGGGAATATAGGCATGTGGGTACTCATTTTAAAGAGAATTTCAAGGAGAGTAACATGGACTAAGAATTTCCGAGATATATTTATAAATATAAGAAATATATAACGGGAAGTTGGCTTGGATATTTTTGGAATCTACGGAAAATTTCTGAAAAAATGAGTACCCGCATAATAAATTGGTCATATGTGACCATATATAGTGATTATGACCATATATGGTCATTGTGACCATATATGGTCATATCCGCCATATGTGATCACATATGGTCACATCCGAGGAAATATAGGCATGTGGGTACATGAGTACATGATTAAAGTAAATGATTAAAGGGAATTTTAAGGGGATTAACATGATCTAGATAATTATCAAAAATTTTGCAATTCAAAAATTATTTTCAACAAAAATTGATATTTTTATTTATAATAGCTTTTAATTGGAGAAATTAAAAAAGGATGACCGAAATTAAGGGGTGTGCGAGCCCGGAAATTGAGTTGGACAGACGATTTGCGAGGCGTGAAGCCGCACCCGGCGTCATCCCCACACATCCGCAGGACTGACCGGAAGGACAATTTACTGTTCGTCAATTGATTTCCTCCGCTCCATCTCCGCTCATTCAGCGCCTCAAATAATATTCACAATATTTACACTCTTCTCTGTACTCACATTTTTATTTAGCTTAAATAAAAATTCTGGCTCAACGGCTGAAGATATGAAAAAAGTTTCAAACCTTTGCGATAGAGAATAAAATTTCCTGCAAAAAAGATTTCTTATCATTTTTTCATATCTCTAATATTTAGCCCATAAATTGCAATTTAATTATTTATTACCACGCTTTGAGTTGTGCCATAATTTTTGTAATGACCATAACTCCGGAACTAATTGACCGATTGACTTGGTTCTTTCATAACTTTTCTTTAAATAGCCTCCCCTAGCTCTTGTCATGAAATCAGGGCCCATAACCTGTTGCTCCATCGTAAAATCGCAATTATAAATTTTTTAAATCACAATAACAAAAGTAATAATTTTTTTTTTTTTAAATAACTTCAATAAATCTCTAAGACAAGTTGGTAGTGACTGAAATATCGAAAACTTATATTTTTATTTTGTCAAAAGTCTATAAATTTTCCTCGGCCACGAGGCATATAAATCAAGTATCTTGTTTTATAACTAAAAAAAAGAAAACCTAAAAAATTTAAAAGTATTTCTACTTTTTCTTAAACCGAAAAAAAAAAGTTTAAACTTTTAAAAGTGTTAAAGTTTGTTGGCCCGTCGGGTGATTTTACGATTGAAAAGAAAATAGTTTTTAATTCCCCAGTGTGATGGCGGCTGCTAACCGACCGCAACATTCGGGTCGACAAGGATCAACCCCATCTCCTTACTCCAAAAAATGATCACGAATAACTTCTCATATCAAAAGTTTTCTCTTGTCTTAAAAGTTACAAGACATCTATAAATACACATGTATCTATAGATATATCTATCTATTTCTTATATTTATAAATATAACTCAGAAATTCTAAGTCCATGTTACTTGGCCTAAAATTCCCTTTAAAATGAGTACCCACATGCCTATATTCCCTCGCATGTGACCATATGTGATCACATATGGCAGATATGACCATATATGGTCATAATCACTATATATGGTCACATATGACCAATTTGACATGTGGGTACTCATTTTTTTGGAAATTTTCCGTAGATTCCAAAAATATCCAAACCAACTTCCTCTTATATATTTCTTATCTTTATAAATATATCTCAGAAATTCTTAGTCCATGTTACTCCCCTTAAAATTCTCTTTAAAATGAGTACCCACATGCCTATAATCCCTTACATGTGACCATATGTGATCACATATGGCCGATATGACCATATGTGATCACATATGGCGGATATAACCATATATGGGTCACATATGACCAATTTGGCGTGTGGGTACTCATTTTTTCGGAAATTTCCCGTAGATTCTAAAAAAGTACATCCTCAAGCTCTAACTACGATCCGTAACCGGATTATAGTGAAACTAACGATTATTGATTCGGAAATAGAAATAGATGGGAAGCGTGTATGCTTGCATGGTCGTGGATGAAAATTTATGTGCTGTATGTAGAGATTAAAAAGAGGAAAAAATAAATGAATTTGTGTCAGAATATGATTTAGGTTAAACCGCAACGAAAATTGATTTTGTAAATTGTTTTGTTTTATAACGAATGGAATGGAATAGGATGTTAAATTTACAAAATATTGATGTGTAGTGGACTCGACTAAACTTATGATACGTTAACCGAGAATCTATTTTACAGAGTGTCGAACTATGTATATACTACGCTTATATTCAGTTATAGATAACTTTTAGTTTAACTAAATTGAAAATTTTATAGTGGAGTTTTATAAAATGGTAGATATTTTTTAGAAACAGGTTATGGGCCTTGATTTTTTGTAGAGACCTAAGGGAGGCTATTTAGAAGGTAATTATCAAAGAACCAAATTAATCGGTCAATTAGTTTTGGAGTTATGGTCATTAGAAAAATTTTGGCACAACCCAAAGCGCGGCAATAAAAAATTAAATTGCGATTTTTGGGGTAAATATTGAAGATATAAAAAAAATATGAGATTTATTTTGTAGGAAATTTTATTCTCTAGGTCATGAATAATTTTTGGGCCAGAATTTTTAATTTTTTGACCTTTATTACAAGTTCCCAGATTTGGTTTAAATTATTTAAAAAAAATTATTATTAATATATTTTCTACAGTAAGTATTACATCATAAACTGATAATATGACTCGTAAAAAATTTTTATAACATCTCATTAAATTCAAGCAAAATCTCAGTAAATTAAATCCAATATTTATCTTCACACGCCAAAATCACGCTCAAGATAAATTTAATTTCTCATTAAAGTCTAGTGACATATTAATGTTCTTATACTTTTATCTATTTTTATGGTTTTTCGAATAAAATAATAATAAATCACGAAAAAAAAAAAGAAATTTCTTAAAAATGTGAAAAACAAAACAATAAAAATTATTTAATATCTAGGCCAAGAGCACCTGAATGTGTTATTTATTATTTTTTTTAGAGATTATTAGTGATAAAAATTAATATTTAACGGTCGAAAAAAGTAAATTAGACGTTAGTTTTGAAGTTAAAACAAAGTAAGCTGGTTGAATTATTCGAGTTAAATCAAAGATGATTAAATTCCTTGGTATATTGTAAGTTGCTGGAGGTATTTTGGAATTTTGGGAAACTGAAGCCCGAATGACAATAAAGTTTCATCAGAGATACTATAAACAATTTGAAGAATTAGATTGTAATGGAACATTCAATGAAAATGAGTTTTTGAGAATGGAACTTATTTGTTCCGATTGCGGGCTACGGTTGAAGAACTATCAGTATACTGATGATTGTCGGTGAGTTTAAATTTAATTAATTAAAAAAGTAAATGGAACAAGATAAATTTTTATAACATGTTCCGTCACTGGAACACTATTAAATGGAACATGTTCCAACAATTGAACATGTTTCATCATTGGAACATTAGCCGATGGAACATGTTCCATCATTGGAACATGTTCCATCGTGGAAACATTAGTATGTGAAACATGTTCTGCCACTGGAACTTCTCAGGTGGAACATGTTCTATCATTGTAACATTTATATGTGGAACATGTTCCACCATTGGAGCATTATTGAACGGAACATGTTCCACTAATAGAACATGTTCCACCGCTGGAACATTACCAGATCGAACATGTTCCACTTCTGGAACATTATCAGATGGAACATGTTCTATCACTGGAAAATGTTCTGCCACTGGAACTTCTCAGGTGGAACATGTTCCATCATTGGAACATTATCAAATGGAACATGTTCCATCATTGGAACATGTTCCATCATTGGAACATGTTCCATCGTGGAAACATTAGTAAGTGAAACATCTCCTGCCACTGGAATGTGGCAGGTACGACATGTTTCATCATTGGAACATTATTGAATGGAACATAGTTCCACCACTGGAATATTATCACTGGTCAGGTGGAACATTGTTAAGTGGAGCATGTTCCGTCATTGGAACATTGAATGTAATATGTTCCACTGATTTCCATTAGTGGAATATTGTCAGGTGGAGCATGTTCCGCCAATAAAACATGTTCCACCACTGGAACATTATCAGATGGAACATGTTCCATCACCGGAACATTAGTAAGTGGAATATGTTCTGCCACTGGAACTTCTCAGGTAGAACATGTTCTATCATGGAACATTTGTATGTGGGACATGTTCCACTTATGGAACATTATCAGATGGATTATGTTCTATCACTGGAACATTTTCTGCCACTGGAACTTCTCAGGTGGAACATGTTCCATCATTGGAACATTATCAAATGGAACATGTTCCATCATTGGAACATTATTAGATGGAACATTAGTAGGTGGAAGAAGTTCTACCAATAAAACATGTTCCACCACTGGAACATTATCAGATGGAACATGTTCCATCATTAGAACATTATCAGATGGAACATGTTCCATCATTAGAACATTATCAGATGGAACATGTTCCATCATTAGAACATTATCAGATGGAACATGTTCCATCATTGGAACATGTTCCATTATTGGAACACAAAAAAATTTAACCCTAACAAATTATTTTCTGTTCCAGGCAAAATTGTTACACAACACATCACATGAAAGAATGCCTCAACACCTTCAATACTCCCGAGTCATCTTTACCAAGCTACCAACGCCTTATTGAGTCTCTGTCCGGTCGCCAACCCGACTTCTAGTTCCAAAAATCAAATGAATTATTAATCAATTGAAAGTAAAGCAAAATATTCCTTATCTTATTCCATTTCTGTTAGTAGTTAAGCAAAGCCTTCTAAAACCTACAAGCGGGTAATGTAAATTAAAATGAATAATCAATTAGTTCATCGGTCTTTTCAAAGCTTCTTTATTCACCCCCGACATTTTTATACCTTCAAAGTTTTAAGTTTAAGTTAAATTTAAAGTTAACATCATTCATGGCCAACTTTTAATCCTGCGGTTTAGAAAAAAAAATAAATTAAATTAATTATGAGGAGAAAAAATTGATGGAAAATTTATAAAGAATGAAAATAAGTATCCAGGAGGTCAAGTTTTATCTACTTGGAGGAAATAAGCTATTAAATAAATGGTATTGTAAGAGACTTTGAGGTATTTTATTTCTGTTTCTAGTGTTGTTATTTTTTTTTTTTTTTTTTTTTTTTTTCAAAGAACATACGTGATAGAGTTTAGAAAAAAAAATAAAATTGGTAAGAAGTAGAAAAGCAATAAAGGGTTTACTGCGATTGTCTGATAACCCGACGACAGAATGGAACAAGATAATAAGGATATGTGTTTTGCAGAAAAATAAAGGCAGGATGAACCGATACTACAAAGGTATAATAATGTTTTTGATCGTTCTTATGGTTATTTTATAAAAGTAAATTCAAGAAATATAAAATCTATTGAATTTAATATATTTTTTCTATTGTAAGATAAGCTTTATATTTTTTTTTGTTGAAAAAAAATTTTATTTTCATAAATTTTTTTTAAATAAAAAAAATAAAAATTTCTAAAAAAAATAAAAAAAAAATTTCTAAGAGCACTCAACGCCATCTGTTGGTAGTATGTTTAACTATAAAATTGTGGAGGGGGTATATGAGGTAAGAGGTTGGCAAACGAGCAGAGAGTGTGTTCTAAAACACGAAGGGTAGAAAATGCTTTTTTTTCAATTTCTTTAAGCATACTTAAATAATGATTTTTGTTAAATTGCACTGCAATTTTTTAACTATTGACTCTTTTAAAGATATAAGCTCATCCTGATGTTACACTCATCAAGAGCTTTCAGTTGAGTACCCACATGCATTTTTGATAAATTTTTCATATATACACATATATAATATATATTTTAAAGATATAAGCTCATCCTGAGATAAGACTCATCAAGAGTTTTCATTTGAGTACCCACATGCATTATTGATATATTTTTCATATATACATATATGTAATATATATAAATATATAAAATATATGAAAAATTGATGTGGGAGCTCAAATGAAAGGTCTTGATGAGTCTAATGTCAGGATGAGCTTATATCTTCAAAAATATCAATAGTTTGCAAGATACAAGATCATTTCTTAATTATGTAATATATATAATATATATTTTGAAGATATAAGCTCATTCCGATGTTACACTCATTAAGAGCTTTCATTTGAATACCCACATCCATTTTTCATATACTTTTCATATATACATATATATAATATATATAAATACATAAAATATATAAAAAATTGATGTGGGTACTCAAATGAAAGGTCTCGATGATTGTAATGTCAAGATGAGCTTATATCTTTAAAAATGTCAATAGTTCACAAGATACAAGGTAATTTCTTAATTAGTGACATTTTTAAATATATAAGCTCATTTTGACATTACACTCATCAAGAGCTTTCATTTGAATACCCACATCCATTTTTCATATACTTTTCATATATACATATATATAATATATATAAATACATAAAATATATAAAAAATTGATGTGGGTACTCAAATAAAAGGTCTCAATGAGTATAACACCGGGATGAGCTTATATCTTTAAAAATGTCAATAGTTCTCAAGATACAAGGTCATTCCTTAATTATGTATCTAGAAATGATTTTCGAATGCAGCCTAAATACTTATCATCATAAATTGACTATTGGTTAGAATGATATGAAACCATTTCGCTTTTTCTCTTAATAATATAGATTACCTTAATAATTAAAAGTTAAAAAAATAATTTAAGGATTAACTATTTAAAATACTAAAAATATAAATATAATTAATATACTTTATTATAATATTTTATTAATTATAAACTAAGTTAAATGATATAAATATTTATTTTACCTAGAAAATTAATCAACGTGTAATTGAATTAATAATTAATTCATTTATATTTTACTCATGATTTTAAATAATTATTTTTATATAGTGTAGTACAAATTGTTCTGTTTTTTTTTTTTTAATTTGTTTCTAATGTGTATATCTTACTGCAAATAGTACAAATAATAATAATTATTAATTAATTAATAGAGCTATTAATTTTTACAAGAGTACTCAGGCTAAGTGTAGAAATAATAATAATTATTATTAAATTAATTAATTAATTAATAATTTTAAATAATTCGATGTTCTATTTAGAAATTAATATAATTATCTTCAGAGTTATTAAATTTTATCGGAAGTTTTTTTTTCTCTAAACATAATTATTTTTAAATTAATATATATTATAAATTTTTAATAATAAAAAAAATTAATTAATTATTTACCGGTGACTGAATTAAAAATTTTTTTAATTAATGTTGAATATTTTTTCAACACCACGAAAAAAATGGGCTTTTATTTTGGAAGCGCTGGGTAAATGTATCCGAGAATGAAAATAGTCTTGGTGCTCCTCCATTTCCTTTGGCTCTGAAAATAATTAAATAAATTATTAATTATCTATATTATTAAGAGAGTAAGCAAAATTTTGTGTCCAGTGTATTTATATGATAAAATGGCTTTTTATGGTTAAATCTAGATACATAATTAAGAAATTACCTCGTATCTTGTGAACTATTGACATTTTTAAAGATATAAGCTCATCCTGACATTACACTTATCGAGACCTTTCATTTGAGTACCCACATCAATTTTTCATATATTTTATATATTTATATATATTATATATATGTATGTATGAAAAATATATCAAAAATTCATGTGGGTACTCGAATGAAAGGTCTCGATGAGTAGAACATCGGGATGAGCTTATATCTTTATAAATGTCAGTAATTAAGAAATGACCTTGTATCTTGAGAACTATTGACATTTTTAAAGATATAAGCTCATCTTGATGTTACACTTATCGAGACCTTTCATTTGAGTACCCACATCAATTTTAAATATATTTATATATATGTATATATGAAAAATATATCAAAAATTCATGTGGGTACTCAAATGAAAGCTCTTGATTAGTGTAACATCAGGATGAGCTTATATCTTAAAAAATGTTAAATGTTAAAAATAGTTAAAAAAGTAAAATGCAATTTAATAAAATTCATTATTTAATAAAGCAAAATTTTACTTATTTATAATTCACAATTCACGGAGATCACATGGTGACTGCAAGGTTGCTAGTATATTATTAATTATAAGATAATAATTATAAATTAAATTACTTTTCAACTATAACAGCAGGCATCTGAACTAACTGGACCGGGCTTTTGGAGTCTTTTAATGCTTGCTGTAAATTAAGTATCTGTCCTCTCATCACACTCATTTGCCGGTCGAAGTTGTGTCTATCAAAGCCTTTGTCCTGCTGTAATAATAAATTATAAAATGAATGAAGATATTTTTTTTTTGTTTTAGAAAATTAATAATACATTTCAATTTTAATTATGCTAGTCTTTGTATGAGGAAATAGATTTTCCAAGGTGCATTGACTTTCATAATTAATGTTTAATTTTTTTTAATTAATTTTAATTACATTTATTATTCATAGTAAATTAAAATTCAATTTTATTTAATAAATGAAATTTTTAGACTGCATTCAAAAATTATCTCTAGATACATAATTAAGAAATGACCATGTATCTCGTAAACTATTGACATTTTTAAAGATATAAGCTGATCCTGATGTTACACTCATCAAGACCTTTCATTTGAGTACCCACATCAATTTTTCATATATTTCATATATTTATATATATTACATATATGTATATATGAAAAATATATCAAAAATGCATGTGGGTACTCAAATGAAAGCTTTTGACGAGTGTAACATTGAGGTGAGCTTATATCTTTAAAAGCATCAATACTTAAGAAAGTACAGTAAAATCTCTATAAAGTTCCGCTGTGAATAGTTCCGTTCCCGTCAATCTTTTCCCCTTCTCTTTAATATTTCCCCTTCTCAATATAAGTATTAGTAAACATGTAGTGCATATTATTAAAATTGATATTTATTATTAATAATAATAATAATAATAATGTAATGTAATGTAATGTAATTTATTAACTGGCTATAGGACAATGTCCCCTAATAGCCAAATAATAATAATAATAATAATAATAATAATAATAATAATAATAATAATAACTATGCTACTTGTGATAATATCAATAATTATTATGATAAAAAATTGTTTGATCAAAAAAGCATTAGAAGCAGTTAACCTATTATAGCACTGGCATCAAATCAATTGTGATTTGAACAACCAAGATGTTATTAATGATTGTAAAGTTTTAGATAATATAAAAAAACGTATATTTAATAATTAGTTTTATTTATGATGTAAGTAAAATAATAAAACTTTAAACAATTAATATGAAATATGTGTCAATTGAATTTGATTCTGACAAATTTTAGGTTATTGATATATATGAAAGGAATATTTAAATTTCCCGGGCGTTATTTCAATGTATTGGTGAATTACCATTCTTTAGATTGATTGGTTTTTAAGAAATAAGCCACGCCCCTTTAAATCTACATTGAATAGTTTCCTACCCCAAAGACCGAAACTTTATAGAAAGTTTACTGTACAGTGCAATTTTACCTTAAACAAATGATACAAATCATCACAGAGATCCTGAATAAAATTCTGATCCGACAGCTGAGGTAGAACAAGTTCCCTTGTGAAATCGCTGAACGGCAATTTAGCTTGACTCAGCCAGGCCCAATGATAAGGATAAGCTCTCCAGGAGTCCGGGTGTTTAAACGGGAAGGCCAGCCCGTTGTCAATGGCAGCTATTTTGACTTCTCCGCCCTCTATCGTCTTTGCGGCCGACGGGTCGTACTTTATCAGCCAGTTGTCGTTTCCTAGAACCACAACAATATATAAATATTTTAAAATTACAAATAATTTTATTTATCAATTGAATAAATTTTAAAATAACAATTAATAATTAGGGTAAATGCACCAATTATTAACCGATTAAGGTTTTCTTTTTCTGTACTAAGGTATAAAAAATCTAGTAGCCTACTAAAAAAAAATTGTAATGGATTTTATTAAAGTTAAATACTTAATTAATAATAATTAATAACTATTTATAATCAAAATTATATTAATTTTGTTATTTGAATGTTGAAATACTAAAATCACCAATTATTGTCCGAAGAAACCCAATAAACGACCGACCGTTCTCCAATTAATTCACCGCTCAAATAATTATAAGGCCGAAGAAACCCAATAAATGACCGATCGTTCTCCAATTAATTGACCGCTCAAATAATTATATTATAAGTAATTTTGTAAACTACATTTATGTAATTAAATTTATGCAGTACTTTTCAAGTATTTACGACATCTTTAACAAAACTAAACATATAATATAATTTTAAATCGTACTTTTTTTTATAAAATAGTATAAATAATAGCAATAATTAACATAAAGTCACATTTCTTTAGGTCACAAATAATCATAAATTCATTTAGATGACGATAATTCTTCTGATTCACTTGAAATTTTTTTATTCTTCTCCTTGTTTTTTTCAATTAAAGCTTTTTTACTAGCTTGTAACTCTTTTTTATTTTTTTAATTGCTTAGCAATTTTTTCTTCTAATAATTCGTTCTTTGATATAACCGTTCACTAAAAAAATTACAACAAAATAAAATTTAATAATCAAAAAAGATTTTAAGTATTATTTTAATTATAAATATACATTTTATAATGATTATTTTTATATTTACAAAATATTGAATGACTAAAGTACTTTAAACACTTGACAGATTTAATTTTGAGGTTTAGAAGTTAGTATTATAAATATACGGTCATTAATTGGGTTGTGATAAAATCAGAGGGTCTAATAAATGACCGAATGAATTTTTTACTGGGTAAAGGGCTTCTGACGGATCCAATAGTTGACCGGTCTTAAAATAATATTAAAACTTATAATTTAACTTTATTTTTTCAAAAAAATTGGAATCTGATCTTTAATTAACATAATAAAACTAAAATATTTTATATTATGCCGATAAATATCACTAAATTAATGATGAAACGCACTCACTCTCCAATTGTACGGTAGTTATTTTTGACCGCTTTATGGCTGGTTGCGTTGTAAACAAACTCAGAATATTTTTTTAAAGCTATAATCACTGCGCAATTAATTGCGTAATTTTTTATTATGATGATTAAATGCCATATATTTTTATTTTAATACTTTAAGAAAAAAAAACCCTTGTAAAATATTAATTAATTAACTTTTTTATACATCGGTCATTTAATTGGTGACCAGTCAACAACTGGTGCATTTACTCTATAAAGAATCTTAATTTTTTAAATCATAAAAGACATTTTTTTTTTGTAATATTAAATTTTAAACAACTTAAAAAAAAATTTTTTTTTAGCCCAATATTTACGCCGTATTATGAAAATTTAATCACACTTACCGCGATCAGTGTTCCTGATAATATAATCCAGGATAACCAGCCGCTCAAACTGGAGCTGGAAGTCACGAGCGAGTTTAGTGGGCAGCGGGTCGCTCTCCCACCTCCTCAGCCAGTAATCCGCGTCCTTGTAGCCGTCCATAAAGAGCTGAAAGGAGCCGATTTTAGGAGGCAGTCCGATCCTCTTGAACTGGGAACCGACGGCTGGGAATTGGTCCATGATCGCCTGCTTCATCCTGGTCTTTTGTCTGTCGATTCGCGGGTAGTTGAACGTCCGGCTGACCAGCTTTATCACCCGCGTGTTGGGGACCACCCCGAGGCCCAGCTTTCGGTCGACCAAACTCGCTCCGGCTTCGCTGAGGTAACCTTGGTTAGGAATCAAGCAGCTTCGCCCGAAGCAGCAGGGACAGCACAATTTGTGCATCCATTTTGTCCATTTTGGGTTCAGGCGACCGTAAGGCTCCTCGTCTTTTGGCTTAAATACTCCAATTATTTTCTGGATAGAAAATAATTCATATATTGTTGGAGTTATTGATTGTGTCAGGTTAAAATTCGAGGTAAGAGTGGTTAGTAAAGTTTTTTAAAAGTCTTTTCTTTTGATTAATAAAATTTTTAGTTACATTGGCACTCAAAACCAATGTAAATAAATTGAATTCGATGTAAATTACTAAAGAATCTAATTAGAAGTTATTTTTCATGATTCAAATTTGTTTTAGGCTGCATTGACGCTTGCAATCAATGTAAAGTCATTATTTTAACATGGTAAACAGCAAAAATTATATGATTTATTTTGTTTTAAAATTACATTAACACTCAAAATCAATGTAAAAAATAAAGGCAGAGTTAATCACTAAAAAATCTAATTAAAAGTCTCTTTTAATGACTAATAAATTTTTTTAACTACATTGACACCCAGAATCAATGTAAAGTTATTTTCAGTCGATGTAGATTATTAAGAATATCAATTTAAGGCCTCTTTATATGATCAACTAATTTTTTAGACTACATTGACACTCAAAATCAATGTAGAAATTTTTGAGTCAATTTAAATTACTAAAAACTATAATTGAAAGTATCTTTATGTTGTATATTAAGTTTCAAGACTACATTGACAACCAAAGTCAATGCAGAATTTTTTTAGTCTATCTAGATTTAAAAAAACTCTAATTAAAAGTCCTCTAATATAGATAATTGAGTTTTGAACTGCATTGGCACGTATTTAAATCATAAAAAATACTAATTAAAAATATTTTTAGATTACATTGATACTTAAAATCAATGCAGTAATTTTTTTTTTTTAATATTTTAAGATCTACTATCTTAATCCAATAAAATTTTGATATATTCTTTACACCACAATTTATTATAATTATTTATAACAAAAATAATAATAAAACTTACCCCAGCTTGATTTTTGACAAAATAACTACCACTAGACCCTTGATAAATTCTTTCCGGATAAATACCATTATCTATCGCGCATTCTGCTTGCCAGACAAGCTCCGAAAATTGTGGATCATCTGAAAAATAAATATAATAAATTAAAATAATTTATCAAGATAATTGACGTCAATAAAAATAAATAAATAATCTCAATAATACGCTGATAGCATTGCATTAAAATTAATCCAACACACTTGACATTAAAAATAAATAAAAAAAAAATGACTTTTAAGTTAACAGTGACTTAACTATTTTTTAATTTTTTTCAACAAATAGATTTTTTCCAAAAAATTATTTTTAAAAAATTGCATTTTTAATTTATTATAATTTCTAAATGTCCATTTTTAGTAGATTTTTATAAAAATCTAACTATTGCAGCCGTCCTCAAAACCAAGGTTAAGTTCGAAGATGAGCTTAAGGGGGGAAATACGTGTAGAAGGCCGTTTTCGTGCCGATTTTCATTAATTTTTTTAAGGTATAACAAATTAATATTATTTATTAAAACTATCAGGTTATTTTATACATATATTTATGAGTATTTTTTTGTATTAAACAACAATATAAGTTAACAAATAGCGGAGATATCAGCTGATACACATCGTAGGTTGTCATCTGACTTAGCAGTCTGTGTGCAGTTTGGAAACCACAATTTTATTTGAAATCAATGGCACAGAAAAATTACTTCATTTATATATGTGTATCTACCATATGAACCTCTATTCGAAAAAAAAAAAAAAGTAGAAATTTGCATTTTTTAGAGGGCTGTGAAATTAAGTCGTGATTTTTTACCACTTTTTCATAAATTGTTTATTAAAAAAAAAATAGTTTAAATAAAAATATCGCTTCCGATTGAGGTTCATATTCAAGGTAATTGTATAAAGAAAATTATAAGCCATGTCGCAAGATGATTGGTTTGAAACTCTTTGAGCTAGACTGTACACAGTTTTGAAAAAACTCGTTTCGAGAAAAAATGCGTTTGAAAAAAAAGTGCCAGAAAAAGTTAATGTAAAATAGTATTAAAGTAATGACTAAATCGGTTATAACTTTTGAACGAATAGGAATTTTTACTTGAAATTTTAAGTCTATATTTTTGAAATTTTGAAAATCGTAAAAATTACTGTTTTTACTACTTTAACTTGGTATAATTAGTGAACTAGACAAAATATTAAAATTCGGTTAAATGCATCGTAAAGCTCTTTTAATAAGCTTCAATTTTCACTACTCAGAAGTGGTATTAGCCTCAATATTACTCCTTTTACAGTTCGTATTAATGAAACAGCTTTACTGTTGCAGCCGTTTTAGAATTATTGTCTGCATCATAGCTTAATCATGATGTAAATTCAATAATTACGATATTGATCAGTCTTTCGTGTAATGTTTTCAGGTAGGTCGTCAGTAAATATGTCACAAATTAGTTCTAAATATTGTTTTCTTCAATTAAAATTTCATCCGGTTTTAAAATTCTGATTAACTTGGAAATTGTTGTTCCTAAGCAGTTACTTTGAATTTGGACATTTATAATTCAAATCTTATAATCTTTGCAATTGTTCGATAAATATTTAAGAAACTTTTTCTTCATAAGATAATTTTTTCCAAAATTTGTTCTAAATAATTTTAAATTTATTATTGAATTTTGTTTTTAATTCATGAATTAAGTTATACATTATTAGTGTTATTATATTATTTTATTAAAAATCAATTTTCTTTATTTAAAAAATCTACTTCCATTTCGGCTGCCGAATGGCCTTTTTTTATGCAGCAATTTGATTTATTAAAATTATTAAAGAGGTAGGTACTTTCGCCATCAATGTTGAATAAAAAATCTAATAGTTAAAATCCTTATGTATCTACTAGTGAAGTTTAATTTATTCTTCACCGTGGAAATTTTTGAAAAAAAAAATTTCTATAAATGTTAGTATTTTTTCCGAGTCTTACGAGAAAGTCAGACCTTAACAACTTTCTCGAATTATGGCATTAACCACTGATTAGATGGGGTAAAAAAAACTCAAAATAAGGTTTTCGAAATATTGAGGTTTGATTTTTTGCAATAAAATATATAGGTTGCCGTGGAATTTATGGAGAAATTATAATTATAAAATCACAGAAAATTTTTGAGTAACCTACATTTAAATGGCGTCAGAACATTTGGCAACGTTGTGTAGCGCGCGAGCTTCAGACCATTCAATAAATTCAAACTAAACTTTAACGCACTCATGTTTATCATACATACTTATTAATTAATTTATTGTTAACAAATTTTCATATTTCATAATTGAAAAATAAAACAATAATTAAAAAATACTAGCATTCTTGCCATTAAACATTAGAATGTTATGGTTTTATGACAAAACATTTTTAATTAATTTATTTATTTACACTGACTGCAAAAACTTAAACATGGTTAAGGTTATATTGTGCAAATGAAAATGTAAACAACCGATATGTAGCGTTGCCAAATCACGGACAGGTTATTAACAGCTGATTTACAAGAGTCAAATTAATTTTTGTATTTAACTATTTTTTTTTTAATTTTCAAAATTTCAACGATTAATGCCTCGTATACTATTTATTTTTTAATTTTAGGAATTTTTATGGGTTTTTTATTTTAATTTATTGAATATTGACTACTACAGTTGTTGTGATTCAACTGGAGCGAAAGGACTTCCTTAAATATCGGCTAAATTAATTTTCATAAAAAAAAAAAAAATACCCACCTGGAAATCTATTAAAAGTAACATCAAATTCCAGCCGACCAAGGAGAGGCTGACTCTCCCGGTCAATCCCCGGGGAATCAATGTTTGCGTGAATATCGTTGCTTGAATTAGGTGCAAACTCCACGTCCGGAAGGTCTTCAATATTACTATTACTATTACTATTACTATTATTATTATTATTATTATTATTATTATTATTATTATTACTGGGTGGAAAAAAATTAGCCGCGTCCTCCGAACCAGCGCCAGGAGTCAGCAGCAACAGCGGAGGAACTGGAACAGGAACTGGTTCCAAGGTCAGCAAGGAGGAAGAGGGCGGTGTGATCGACAAGTCTACTAGCGCCTCGGAATCTCCGAATCCAGCTCCTTGATTTTGATGGTTAAAATTATTCTGACTTTGGTACTCTCTATAAGGCACGTGCAGTTGCCGCTGTTCCGAGTCACTCATCACAGATAATCACTTTTTTTTTTATTTTTATTATGAAAATTAAAGTAGCAGATATTTAATAATTTTTAGAATTTTTTTTTGAAGAAAAAAAAAAAATTTTGTAGAAATTTAAAAAAATTATTAAACAGCTGACTTTAATGTCATATTTTATTTTTTTTAATTATTAAATCACTAAAATTTATTTTTAATAAAAAAAATGGCACTTAATGACACTCGCGTTAATTTTAAACGCAAAGACATTATTAAAAATATTATTTTTTTACTACCACCTGTCACTGGTGACGTTTCGAGAGAATAGCAACCAATAAAGATTACTCAACCTCCATTACATTTTGTTTTTGTCAACTTTAGAACTTTGCACCTGAAAAAAAATAATTATTATTAATATTTATATTTATTATTATTTATTAGGCGGGTTGTTATCTTACGTAAGTGTCAATTGTTGTAATTTTAATTAATTGTTGTTATTATTATTATATTTTTTTTAATTATTATATATTATATGACAGGCAAGCTATAACCCTGAATCCTTAACTGATGACAGGGCCAGTGACTAAAGTATGAGACACCTCTTTCACGCCGATGATTAAACAGTTTTTTATCGACTGTATTAATCAATATATTTGATATATTATTTATGTTTTTATTTGCTGGGTTTTTTTTTTATTTTATTTCAATATTTATTTGTTTATTTAAATTAATAATTTATTATGAGCAAGTGGAGTTTTATTATATTATCGTATTAAATGTCAATTTTTTGTATGATGAGGCGGAAAATAAAGAAATGGCGCTTACCCAGAGAGTGGTGGGGGTAATTGTTTAAAATACGGACAGGTGGCGCCACTAAAACTTTCTGGAAAATTTTAAAAATTTTAAAAATTATTAGCGCAATTTTTTTAAGGAGGTCCTTTCGCCGCCAATCTAAAATAAAAAATATTAGATTATGAGTAAATTCAATTTTTTTCTAATAGTTAAGGTCCTTATTTATCTAATAGTGAGGTTTAAATTATACTTACCGGGACAAATTTTTAAACCTCACTATTAGATAAATAAGGACTTCAACTATTAGAAAAAAATTTAATTTACTCATAATCTAATATTTTTTATTTTACATTGGCGGCGAAAGGACCTCCTTAAGTAAAAAAAATTAGGAAAACGGTTGACTCTAAAGGCCATCCCTGCAACTTCCCGCTCATTTTGTACTTAAACGCTTCAAACTACACTTTACGTTTTTGAGTTCTTCGAGCTCAAAAATACTATTTTTGCGTCAATTTGAGCTCTTCTTCACACTCGCCAAACAGAAAACCGAGATGGTCGTTTTGACACGTCAAAAATGGTTCCCAAAACCATTCGCTGTGG